GAAGGGTTAAACATCAACTTTTTAACCCAATTTTCTTCGGAAAATGCCTGTACCAAGTCAGGAATATGGCAAGTTTTTTTTCACTTGTTCCGTTGATTGATAGCGTTTTATTTTATCAGTTTTTATGGACTTCCAATTTTTGCATTTGCCTTACAGTTCGGTATTTTTATTGTACTTTTTTCCATACATGTACAGTCCGGCGTACTTCAAGGGTCTGTCCTGGGATCGAGCCTATACTTTTTTTTAAAATAAACGATATGCTCCCAGGGGATGCAAAAAGTAAAATCACAAAAATTCTGAACTCCGAGGAAAATTTAAAACGGAAAGTCCCTAATCAAATGGCAAAATCAAAAGCTCAAACACTCAAAAGCTCAAACACATCAAACGAATGGCAATCAACCGTACGACTGTTTGCTGATCACACTATTGCGTATGCGGCAATCTCAATCGATGCAGATGCAGCAAACCTACAGAAGGTCCTTGACAAACTGGCTGAATGGGAATCAACATTACTCATGAAGTTCCATCCTAATAATTGTAATGTACTCGCCATCTCCTAGATGCGAACTCCATCTATGTACAATTATACATTACATGACCATAATATTGTACATGTGACATCAGCTGAATACCTCGGATGTACCATTTCATCATATCATAAATGGGGTAAACCCATAATCACCATCTGCTCCAAAGCTAATAATACCATCAGCTTCCTGAAAAGGAATGTAAACTTCTCCAACAAGTCGATCAAGGAAAAAGCACAAATGTCCCTTGTCAAACCTACATTGGAATATGCTAGTGTAGTATGTGACCAATACCAACAAAATGACATACCTATGGTTACCTATGGATCTTCAGAACGCTGGCGTCCCCAAGGATGACTGGGGGATAGAAATATGGTCACTACATGTCTTCTTCCGACCGGCAGTAGAATCCTTGCCAAAGTGGGGCGTCCGTTTGGTTGTGCGGGATGTACAAGTACGCAGCCACGTCCGGTCAGAATGGGGACGTTAAATCCAATGCCTCGTGTAGAGCGAGTGCCATGCTCTCTGCACGTTAAGAACCCTTTCAACAACTCTTTGAGGGGTCCGTAGGTGACCTGTTGCAAGGCTAAATGTCTGTCCCTATCCAATTTACCCTCATTTTCCTGTGGCAGTCTAAATTTCCCCGACCTTCTCGGACGGCCTACATTGCAATACTTGCCTGTTGTATTTATTGTTAATTTGTTCTCGTCCTGAATATGCATGACATATTTGTCACTGGACGTTAAGCAACCAACAATCAATCAATCAATCAGAACGCTGGCACTGTTGTGCCATTATATTCTGCTCTGCTTCGTCGTCATTGTAATTAATTGTTCGTTTCAGACTTCCGGATAAAATTTCATATGCTGCCTCTGAATCATATGTTAACGGTTGGTTGAACCAAAATGTATCTATTCTGTTTGTAAATGTGTTTAAAGTTTTAGCTGAAATAACGTCTGCAAGGAGGCTGTTCCATATGTCAACAACTCTATTGGTGAAAAAATACTTTCACAGACGACTTCGTTGTTTCTTCGGTTTCATTGAATGACCTCTTGTTGATGTACTTGTGATGTGCATTTCTAATAAATCAATGGAGATTTCGCAGACGGTCTTCATATGTCAATCTCTCATTGTTGGCAACATTTTGGTCGCTCTCTTTTGCACATTTGCGATACTGAGTAATGTAAGCCTTCTTGTAGGATGATCCTACACTGTTTGCATACTCCAAATGTGGTCTTCCAAGTGCCTTATATAGTGGAGTAAATGTGCGATTTTCTATGTAGACAAAGGAAAGACGAGTGATGCCTACAATCTCATTAGCTTTATTCACTTGATTTTTGATGTGATTAGCAAACGATAGACATGTCAATAGTTACTCCAATGTCTTTCTCAGATTCAACATTTTCAAGAGTATAGTGCGGCGCCTACATACTTTTTCATTGTGTAATGTGGAGGTTCGTGTGGAGTGTTCCTTCCACTAATTGGAAGAACTTTACACTTGTCGGGATGAAATTTCAAAAGCCAAGTTTTGATCCATTCGAAAAGTCCATCAAGGCCTTCCTGAAAACTTCTGGTCCCTTTGGTCAACTATTTCCCTAAATAATTTGGTATCGTATGCAAACACGAACACATCCGAAATTACATTGTTTCGCAAGTAGTTGATGAAAAGAACAAATAAAATTGGTCCCAGTACGGAGCCTTGTGGAATTCCATTGGTTACATTCCTCCAATTGATCTTGACCCATTGACCTGTATGCATTGTTGTCTATTACTAAGACATTTGTTTTATCCAGTTTGTAGTCTTCTCACTGATACGATAATACTGAATCTTGTCAAACGCTTTCATAAAGTCCATATATATAGAGTGTAATATACCACCATCATCTAATACCTTTGCCCATTTGTATAGGAATTTCAACAACTGAAGTGAAGTTGATCTACCACCCATAAAGCCAACATGTTGGTTACTGAATAAATTCTGTCTTTCCTTTTGCTCAATAATTCGCTTACGGATAATTGTTTCTATGATTTTACACAGGATGCTTGTAAGACTACTTGGACGGTAATTTGAAGCTGATTTCTTATCACCCTTCTTAAATAAAGCGGCTATTATGGCAATCCACAGATTGGATGTGTTTCAAAGGAGGCCAGCAAGGTATGTCACAGCACCTCATCAGCAGTAATATGCTTGAACATCTTGAATGGACTACCCTACAAGAACGAAGGAAACAATGCCGCCGAATAATGATGCATAAGCTTCAGAAGAACAATGAACATTGATTCATCTAGTAAGCGGATACTAAATGAACACCCTTCCAGAAATAACAACGAAAAAGCATTCAGAATTCCATCATGCAAAACAGCTATCAGAGAGTGGAACACCTTACCTAACAGTATTGTCTCTGCCCCAAGTCCTGAATCTTTCAAGGCTCAACTCCATCATCAAACTTAAATGCCATGTTTTACTTGCAACTGTATATATATATAAAAAGTCTAAATTGAAAACAACGTTCAAACCTATGATTGCGTTGGACAAAAACCGCAATTTTTATACGTGTGCATGCAAAACAAATTTCTTGGTAGAGGGGTATAAATACAGCACAAACAACATTTTCCAAAAGACCAAAAAAGTGAAAAAGTATATTCTAACAAAACGCATTTGACTAGCAGGTCGAACAACTGATGTTCTTAAACCCTGCTGACTGCCATTGGCGATTGCCAAATAAACGGTTCACCAGATGTAACAAAATGGATCTTGTAATAATTTATTACCAAATAGAAAACAATAAACTTGCGGAAAAGATGGTATACCGCAAACATGAGGTGCAAAAATTTGTACACCATATCCGGATTTCGACAATTAATGTCTCTTCAGTGATGTAAGGAATCGAAACGGTTTTTGGAAGGCCATATAATTTACCTCAATTTAGGATAGACTCTTGAATTTTGAAAGAGTCGAAATAGGATGAACGGATCATATAAACCCGAAGGCAAATATAATACAAGCCCAAACGAAAAAATATAAACAAGTCTAAATTGAAAACTACGTTCAAACCTATGATTGCGTTGGATAAAAACCGCAATTTTTATACGTGTGCATGCAAACCAAATTTCTTGGTAGAGGGGTCTAAATACAGCACAAACAACATTTTCCAAAAGACCAAAAAAGTGAAACCCTGCTGATTGCCATTGGCGAGCGCCAAATAAACGGATCACCAGATGTAACAAAATGGATCTTAAAATAATTTATTACCAAATAGAAAACAATAAACTTGCGAAAAAGATGGTATACCGCAAACATGAGGTGCAAAAATATCTATAAATTGCACACTTATTTGTTTACTAAATTTAAAAAATTTCAAAAATTTGCATGCACTCACTCCAAAGATGTGGCAGAATAGTCAACTAGTTGACGGTGGCCGCTTACCGGAAGAAGATCAATCAATAGATATAAGTAATAACATTTACGGGCAAATTTTACTGTACTAGATGACATTTTGAAAATTAGTGTCTCCTCAAGATGCTCTAGACCAAATAATTAGAAATCGAATTCTAACACAAATGTTGAAGGTAGGTATGTATACAGGATACTATAGTTGCAGACCTCTAGGCTATTTGATCTCTGGTGAAAAGTTGTCTTATAGACAGTCATATAATATCTTTTTTTTTTATAAGGGATATAGCTGTTTCTTGCAGACAATCCATTTCAAAGCAACAATAACAAGTTGAACTGTGACCTACTGCTTAAGTTAAAAGCAATTGCAGTATACCAATCTAACATGAAGGTTGATTCCAAATTTCAAAGTCTTGTTTGTAGTTCCCGAGAAAAATGCGACGATACTTTCTTACATACTCATTATGTGAAAATGTAAAAAACACTTTATCATGTTTTTTTATGCTCATTGTGTGAAAATGTAAATAATAGTTTATGTAATTAAATTGCAGGCTTCCAAAGCACTTTTCTGGATTAACCTTCATCGCGAACATTCACGAACATTCAAAACCAAACAATTTGAAAGGCAATGATGTAAAAGACATGCAACTGTAAAGAGCTTTATGACCAAAAGGGACATAAAAAGAGAAGCCAAATGCATCTACGTTCATCTAGGGGTATAATCATATCCAAGATCTTATTTAATATAAATTTAATATATTATCTTTAGAGAGATGGCCAAACTGAGTTTTGCTTAGATGTTGAAACCTTTAAAAACATTTGCATAGTAGTATAGCAACTGTAAGACAAGATAGATAAGAACAAACGTGTACATAGAGTCAGTCACCTACTCAAGCATAATTTATAAACCATTATTGAACTACATGTATTTGTTACAACAACTTCATTACAATCCATTTGTGTGTTCTGAGCTGGTATTCTCTTATTTAAACAGGAATGGAAGGGCATACTGATAGAGAACTGCTAAGACTTTAATAGAACCTTTCAAGTGTAAAAGGCAAGAAAAAAGGAGAAATACAAACTGTTTTATATTTATTCGCATTTAAATAAACAAAAGCAAAACATAGCAGTAACAACCATGAAGTATGATAAATGCATGATGATAACAATGAAATACATGCTGTGTGAAAGACAAAAATCAAGATTTATTTTTTCTTATTAATGTTTTTGAAAAAAGTCTGTTGTGTGACTAACATTATTACATCAGCATATATTTTCAAAGATCAGTTCTGATCAGGTTTGAAAATGCAAATGAACCCTTCAACTTGTATTATGGTATAATAAAATGTATAATGCACAACAAAAAAGTTCAGATAAAGGTATCAAAAAATGTGCATCCCTTCATTGCAACCCACAGCTTTGATCTGGTATAAATTAAATATTGACTTTGCAAAAGCAGTAGTAGCATTATTTCTATGGTAATAAAAACTAAACTTATTACAATTACTTCCGCATGATTTTAATGGTGGCAGCTGAAAAAATCTTTTAGGGTACTATGTCATGAGTACAAAATCATTATATGTTCAGTGCATAGCTTGTAATAATTACACATTACAAATTTTGACATCATGCTGTTACATATAAATAAATATTTAAGAATATGTTGCTATGTTCATATGTCAATATAGTTTTTTGAGGAACTAAATTGCCAATAGTGTAGTTGCAAATTTTATCTATTGTAAATAGCTGTAACTTGGTACAAATTTAGATGTGAACAAATTGCATAAACATTACAAAATAAAATTTTCATGGGTTTCTCTGAACTGTGTAACTGTACCCTTAAACTATCTTGGTAGACTGGGGCAACAAAATATGGTCAATATCTGACAGTAAAACACATACTGGAGGACTGAATGGTTGTGTGGGATGTATAAATACACAGTCACATCCAGTCAGAATATGGACATTAAATTCATGTCTCATGTAGGAGGATTGCCATTCTATCTACCCTTTGCATAACCCTTAGAGGAATCTGTAGTCACATGTTTCGTCTACAAAGACTCGAAAATGATGATCGTATATAAAAAAAAAAATGTAAAAGGCCAAATGAAGTAGGAGGTTGCAGAGCATTGAGGACCCAAAATTCAGAAAGGTTTTGTCAAATACATCTAAGGTAAACTATTCCTGCATGCCATTCTTTTCACTTAGAAAACCCTACCTACTTACTGTGCTGTTCATTTGTAAACATGCTTGAAATATTTGTACCTGAATGTTGGACAAACAACTATGATGAATGAATAATTGATCTAAATGGAAAGAAGTAAGGGTTCTTCCAAAATCTGATGTGTGAAGGCACTTTTTTAAAACCACATCCATCCATAAAAAATAGTCAATAATGGACCTGAAAAACAGTAAAAAATTCTAACCCAAATTATAACATTCTTCAGAAAATCATTAGAAATACCTGGTAAATACAAAAATAAGCGAAACATTATGTATCATCTATTTTTCAAATTTTGTTTGATTTTGGAGGGAAATTACAAATCCCAACCAGATTATTTTTTTCTCAGGAACTCCATATTCCCTATGGTATTACATTTAAAACAGTGGAAAGGGCTTTCAAACTTTTTTTTCCACTTCTTTTTGAATATCATTATCATTATAAATATAAATAAATGAGGAATGTGTCCATGGGACACACATGATGCTCCCGCTTGCATATCATATTAAGTTATAAAGGGACATAACTGAAGAACAGTAAAAGTGACGCTACCAAAATTTGTACTTGATCTGAGTTTTGTAGTAATAAGTATTGTGTATAAGTTTCATAAAATTTGGTTGAGGCAAACTTAAGTTAGAGAACGGAAACGAAAAATTCAGCAATCTTCATTTGTAAAGGGGCAAATCTCTAAAACAGTTAAAGTGACACCACCAAAATTCAAACTTAATCTGTATTTTGGGGTAATAAGCATTGTGTATAAGTTTCATAACATTTGGTTGAGGCAAACTTAAGTTAGAGAACGAAAAGGAAAAATTCAGCAATTTTTCCATTTGTAAAGGGGCATAACTCTAGAATGGTTAAAGTGATGCCACCAAAATTCAAACTTGATCTGTGTTTTGTGGTAGTAAGCCTTGTGTATAAGTTTCATAACATTTGGTTGAGGCAAACTAAATTTAGAGAACGGAAACCAACTATGGGACGTACGTACGTACGTAAAGACGGACAAGGGTAAAACTTAATGCCCCCTCCGCTACGGCGGGGGCATAAAAATAACCACAAAAAAAGACAATCTCTACATACAAAGAAAACAGAAAATTCTGCATAACTTTTGAATAACTCACAAATATCATAATATAGAGTACATATATTTTAAATAAGATTCAAAGCCAATAATTTTTTTTAGAAATTTTCAAATTAAATTGCTAATGCAACAAAATCTTGCACTACTGTAAATCAACAAAATAATTTTTAAAACAAATATATTTTAGGAGAAATATGTCTGTCCAACAGAAGGATTAAAAAAGAGAAAGAGATGACTTGGATAATCAATACTAGTTACACATGACAATAGTCCTGCTATTTTATTGGTCGTTTATCAGTTACATAAGCTCGTCAGCGTTTGTGTTAGGTTATGGTTTTTCAAATAGCTTGGCCTACAGAATCACTGAAGAGAGATTAATTGTTAAAATTAGCATTTGGTGTAATAAAATCTGTAACATTTAATTTTGTTTCTCAATACTTTGAATAATTGACAAAGCAGTTGGCTAACTAATGACCAGAAGCTTTGCATCTAACATGAAAAGAAATATAATTCTTTTTTTTCGGCTACTGGACTTACAAGATGGAAAATCAGGTGTCTTTATAGCATCACTTTACACCTAATGAACCATCCAGCTTAACTTGCCTAACTCCCATGTCTTTTGGACTTGTACAGCTTGATTGATAGGTTGCAGAAAAACCTAGGGTAAGTATTAAAAATTACAATGCAACAACGCCTTTGAAAAGACAAAAGTTGATAACAATTGACATTCTTATTACATTTAATGTACATAAATCATATTTCAAATGAATTTTACATTAGGAACGATTATTTTATATTTGTACAAATATTTATGCACAATAATAATATTTAAAAAGAACTATCTCTCTACTTTTAGGTAGGTTAGTATCCAGGTCAAGTTCATTAACTCTTAAGAAAGTAAAGGTTCACAGACTAGCATTATCCATAGACTAACAAATACACAAAACTGTCTTCTATTTCACAAACAACAACATCATAGACATGAAACATCTATTTAGTGTATTTTGTGTTTACCAGTACTTTTAAACTTAAAGAGTAGTCTTTCATATTAAAAATAACAAAAATACCAAACTCAAAGGGAAATTCAAAACAGAAAGTCCCTTATCAAATGGCAAAACTAAAAGCTCAAACACATCAAACGAATTGAAAACAAATGTCATATTCCTGACTTGGCAAGTATTTCCTTACGTAGAAAATGGTGGATTGACCCTGGTTTTATAGCTAGCTAAACACATATAATTGTGCATGCCAGTGTTCATTTTTAATATACAATTTCTAATTTAAGTAATATCCTATCAACCAGCCAGTTGTACAAAAATAAATAAACAATAAATAGTGCTAATTTCAGAAATTATATATAGATTTATTGTTAGTTATTGAATACCACATCAGTACACGTCATGGAATATGAACTGATTGATAAAGCATGAACTTGTTTTATTTGATAGTTTCTAAACTCTATGAAATGCACTTTTAATGACTCAAAGGGGGATAAGTATTTAATACAAAATTTCTACAAGTCACGTCCTAAACATTCAAACACAGTAACTAATTTCATAGTTTCTTGTTATTGTATAGAGGAACCATATACCACATTTTCAGAACTTTTAAATATAAAAATAAGATATGGTATGATCGCCACAGAGACAACTCTCCAAAAGACCAAATGACATCGATATTAACAACTATAGGTCACCATACGGCCTTCAAAGTTTATTCAATAATCTAATAAAAGAGTTGTACATTGTTCAACAAAGTACTTATTTTAACTTTAGTAGAGCAGGTGACATTAAATAGACCTTATCAAATCCTTGAAGAAAATTCAAATTATAAATGGTCTATTTAAAGTACTAAAAAAATAAGGAATCAAAAGTTTAAATATAAATGCAATAAACTGGTAAATATATTCTGATACATATAAAAATAACGAGATGAGGTATGATTGCCAATGAGACAATTATCCACCAAAGTTCAAATGAAGTGGATGTTAGCAATTGTAGGCAACCGTACAGCCTTCAACAATGAGAAAAACCCATACTGTATAGTCAGCTATAAAAGGCCCCACATAAAAAATATGATACAATTCAATTGAGAAAACTAACGGCCAAATTTATAACAAAACAATTTACCAAAAACAAATATGATCGACATGAACCAACGGCAACCACTGAACTACAGGCTCCTGACTTAGGATAACCAATATTTCTTTAATAAAATTTCACCTGGTACACTAACTACTATAAGTTTGCTTGGCAAAATACATAAACCTTTTAAAGCATTAAATCCCAAAGGGACATAACCATACCACAAGCAACATTGCATTAGGGAGTAGCAGAAATTCAAGTACTGAAGATTGAATATTAAAGGGGCTGAATATAATGCATATGGCATTTAAAAAGTATATGTTAAATCTACTTAATCTACTTAAAGTAAGGCCTTTATATATCACATGCATTTGAAATGCATATAGATGTTAATGCAATTGTATACCAATTTTAACTACGAATGTAAGAAATTAATTTTTCTGGAATGGACGCTGCATTGAAGACCCATTGGTGGCCTTCGGCTGTTGTCTGCTCTATGGTCGGGTTGTTATCTCTTTGACACATTCCCCATTTCCATTCTCAATTTTATAAACCGCAAACTTCACATTATAGCAATGTCACCAGAATAATACAATCTGTATTTGTGATATTAGTTGTATGTGAATAAAAATGATGATTTTGTTTTAAATAAGCAGCTATAAATATTAAATCACAATCCTACAAAATACAGTACCCATTTCTGTAACATTATTTTTCAATCTTATTAAAATTAAATCCTTTAATTGCTCCCGTTCTGATATGTTGCGCATCAAAGATGCACAACATATCAGAACAAAAGATGCACAACATATTAGAACATGAGCAATTAAAGGATGCTCCACATATCAGAACGGGAGCAATTAAAGGATTTAATTTTAATTAGATTGATTATTTTTATGTATACCACTGAAATTGTAAAGAATATTGATGTTTTTTTGTTGTTGTTTAACATTCGAATTCCATTTGTAATATACCAAACTTAAAAATATTATAAAAGGTATAAATTTAAATAAAAAACTTTTCATTTGGACTAAAGTTAAAGAAATAATCACTGACAATAGTATTACATGCATAATGCACTAAAATTCTATGGTAAAAAGTTACATCTGTGTCTGAACTTAAACTTGAAAATTTCATCTGCAGGGATAAAATTGGTCTCTAACAAAAAAAAGTGGAAATGGCGTTTCCAGAAGTCAAAATAAGATAAAAAAAGAAAAAAAATGATCTGAATAACATGAACTCAAAGATCCCTGATGTAGTTAAAAAAGCAAGTTGGGTAGATGTGGCACAGCAATATTATTTCTAGTGATATTAGTTTCAACTTAAAGCATTTTACTCTATTTAAGGCTAAATATATCATTATAGTCAAAAAGCTGCCTTCAAAACTAATCAAAACAGTTGCTGTTAACTGACAGCAATTCATGGAGTAAATTTATTCAATTGTATAGAGTACAGTCTTTTCAATCAGTGGTTACATAATTTATCATTAAAACTGTAGGCATCACAACATAATAATGGACAGGTATAAATTATAAATGCAATTGGTTTAATAAGCTAATATCAAACTCTGCTATCAGACAGATAACTCCTCATCCGCATCAAATTTTAGTATTGTTGTTAAATCTTCCTTTAGTTTTTGTTTAATTTTCTTTTTAAACTTGTCTCTCAGTCTTCCAAACTCCATTATATCTTTTGGTTTCTCACTGAACCAGAAAGTAACAAATTCTTTAAACATGTAACCTGTAAAAATAAAAAGCAAATGGAGAATATCATATGGCTTTTTCCAATATTACACCTATATCAACCGGAGACACCAATATAATCCCTAGATCTCTACTACAATGTGTGACATTGAAAATGTCATATCATTTACACTTTATTTAATATATACATGTACCTCAAATACAACAAATGTAGATATTTTTCTCATGACATGACATCATACAGATTAGGGGTTTGATAAAGCCTTTGCAATCGTGCATATGACTTATATCGCTTACCTGACATCATACAGATTAGGGGTTTGATAAAGCCTTTGCAATCGTGCATATGACTTAAATCGATTACCTGACATCATACAGATTAGGGGTTTGATAAAGCCTTTGCAATCGTGCACATGACTTAAATCGATTACCTGACATCATACAGATTAGGGGTTTGATAAAGCCTTTGCAATCGTGCATATGACTTAAATCGATTACCTGACATACAGATTAGGGGTTTGATAAAGCCTTTGCAATCGTGCACATGACTTTAATCGATTACCTGACATCATACAGATTAGAGGTTTGATAAAGCCTTTGCAACCATGACTAATATATGGATATCATCATGGAAGGATGATAAAGCTTGATTGTCATTGATCAATTGCATATACATTTTATTTGTATTCACTACTAACATTCATATCATACAGTTGACTTTTGATCTATATTTAAAATATTTTACGCCAATTATCAATTATACTAAAATTCTACAATTAAAATAAAGAACTGGTGACTATACACCCAAGTGTACTGTGTTGATAAGGTTTTAAACTAGAACATTTAATAATGACAGAGTGGAGTCTTCCTAAAAAAAAAAGAAAAAACTAAATGTGGATGTCTTGAATATTGGTAAATAGATATAAATAAAAAAACATATTTGTCTAAGAAGTGACATATATATATGTAAACCTCAGATCTGTGTACGGCCTGAAATATGTGTCCGTTTCTCAAATCTGTGCCCCATCGTGACGTCAATCGCTAATCTATGTCCGTTAAAAGAGATACGGCCTCAAATCTGTGTCATATTTTCACATTTGTTTTCAATCGTGACGTCATTCGCAAATCTATGTCTGTTAAAAAAATATACGGCCTCAAATCTGTGTCCTTTTCTTAAATCTTTTTCCAGTTTGTTTCGCCATGCTCAAATTTATGCCCGTCTAATAAGTACGGCCTTATAGGATTTTTGTTTTATTAAGTCATTTCCCATAATTCAATGTTAAGTTGGGATGTGTTCTCCATGTGTGTGCTTAAAAATTTTACATTCCTGTGTAATTATTGTATGATAATGATTTACATTTTATTGTAAAACTACAACATTTTCAAATTGTTTGCTTTTCTTGATTCTGTGTTTAATTGTTCTGTAGTAATTATCGTTACTTCCCTTTACTCGTTACGTCTTGATAACAAATACGAAATATAAGTTAATAAACAACCTGAGACAAAATGACATCTGTATACAAGCAACTAAAGATACATGTACGGCCTTCAACAATGAATTAAACCTATTCTGTATCGTAAGCTATAAACATACTATACACCTATTTACAAACGTTTTGTTCAATGTTTCAATGTATAGATACCACATAAAAATGTGTGTGATATAATTTATTGTGTTTAACAACGACATTTTGTGCCACTATCTTATTAAACAATTTTTTTGTTTTGGGGAAACTATTCAAGTTTCGTATCTTATGTATTTTTTTAAAATCCATTGTGTACCTTGACATCAACATTCACATATATTTGTGTACCCTGTTGTTGTAGTTGTAATAAAATTCTGACAATTTTGAAGGCCAGTCAGTCTTTTTCCACTGACATCTCTTTTCTAAAATATTCTGTCAGTGTTCTATTGAAGCGTTCTATGCGTCCTTGACTCTGTGGGTGATAGGGACGTCGAGGTAACTGTCTTACGTCTCTAAATTTCGATAAAGGACATAAATTTGAGACAAAAATGGCCATAAGTTTGAGTTAATAAAGGACATAGATTTGAGACAATACAGGGCATAGACTTGAGACAATAAAAGACATAGATTTGAGACAATAAAGGACATAAATTTGGAACATCTATGACGCAATATTAAAAAGGACATAGATTTGCGGAAAGGACATAGATTTGAGACTGGACATAGATTTGAGGCTTACATATATATTAAATGTCTTGTCTACTTTTATATGTAAATATATATTTTACTAAAGTCGTGTAAAAAAAAAGAGCATATATGCCCATAGCAAGAGATCACAACAGACAGAAAACAAGTCTATATATAGTTCACATGATTTATTGCATTTCCCTTTTAACTTCATGACTTAATTTCAGGAATCATAAAGTTATGAATATCCTTTTAATAGCTTTAAACACCAAGTTTCTACATGTAGCTATTCCAGCTACTTTCTGTATAATATAGTGTACTTACAATACAATTCATGGAAATCATGTAGAGATGGCTTGTCATCTTTCATATTATAGAAATGTGTCCGTAATGTTTGCTTTTTTAATAGTTCATACAGAACACTTGTCAGGTTAATTCCAACTATGGCATACGAGAACCTAAAAAATAGATAAAGAATCAGGTATTATTATCAATGAAATGAACCTTCTTAAATAAATATAAAACAGATTAATCTTAATTACCATTTAGTACCACTGGATCTTCAATTTAAGGTTTTTTTTGTAATAGCATAATAGCATAATTTGTTCAACCAAGAAAAAAGGAAACTTCTGTGAAAAATCAATCTTCATGTGTTCGAGACTATATCAATATAAACTGATTTAAGATTATCAACAAAATGAAACAAATACTGTGGTTTCATTTATTTTCGTGGGTACCAATTTTCGTGGATTGCGGAAAACTTGCCTTTTCGTGGATATGTGATTTCGTGGTTTTGCCAAAATCTGCATACAACTTGATAGAAAATTTGTAATTCATTGAACATTTAAATTCGTGGTTCACCTGTACCCACGAAAACCACGAAAATTGGTATCCAACGAATAATAATGAATCCACAGTAATTGATCAAAGCTACATTTCAAGTGTCCCAGACAGGTATACAGTTATGAATACACAGAAATGTTTTGTGTGTTTTGATGAATTTTTTATAAAGGTACAAAATGGTTTCTCACTTTTGTAAGTTAAAAAAAATACAAATTGTTACAGCTCTTTTAATTTTGGCAAATATGAAAAATACAAATCTTTATTTTGGTGATTGTGTAGTTAATTGCAAATATCACAATATGGGACAATTGTGCTGTGAATTGCAAATATCACAATATGTGACTTTTTATTTCACCTGTCAAAAAAAAATTGTTCTAAGGATAGTAAATGAAAAACAGTCATTTCCCTATTTAAATTCCTCTTGATAATTAATCTGACATTGATATCCCCAATGAGTAATAAATATATGCTTTATGTTTATTGACATAATTATCTTTGACCTTTTCAGGATTATTTGTTGATGTGACCCCTGAGAGTTTCTATTTTCTTATAACTAATTCATTAATGACATCAATATCTTCTACAAAAAAAATGAGTTTGATTTAAATCGGTTGTCCTGTCATATTGACTGGTACTATTTCATCCTCTTAGATATGCATGATCAGTTTTAAAATGATAAATAAATACATATCAATCAATATATCTGATAAAAGTATTTTCATTACTCTCTGTTGACTGTTCAAATTAAAAGTATTTAAAATATCATATCTAATGATACAGATTTAACTCATAAAACCTGTATCAAAAGCCTGAAACATTTTATTTTTATTTATAATCCAATCAATTCATAATAATTAACAGACAAAAGTATTTTTGGAATAACTTTGAATTTTTTAAAAATTACATCAGACTGGCTTGAAACCTGTTAAAATGTATGGACACTACCCTTGTGAAATATATGGAGAATGTGTCCATGGGATACAGATGCTGTCCCCTCTTGCATATATCGTTTAAAAAGGGACATAACTCTAGAATGGTATAAGTGACACCACCCAAATTCAAATTAATCTGTGTTTTGTGGAAATAAGCATTGTGTATAAGTTTCATAACATTTGGTTGAGACAAACTAAAGTTTGAGAACATAAACTAATTTTGGTACGTACGGAGGAAAGTACGGACGAACGTACTGACGTATGGACAGACAACAGTAACACTTATTGCCCCTTCCGCCGCGAAATGGGCATAAAGATACAAGTTAGTTGATTTGCAATTTCTTAAAAAATATATCTCATTTTAAATATTATGTACAACTTGCTTCTAGAATAGTTTAAGTGTATGAAGGCTGCTGACTTTACTAAAATGCTGTAATTCAGAAATTAATGCTTGCATTTTATTCTTGCCAATCCTTGACCTCTAGTAAATATGTGAAATCAAATTAATGCAATTGCAATAATTGAAGAAAATCAATTTCTTAATTATGAATAAGAGTTTTTATTATTGGGAACCTGAGACTGTGGCATTTTTTGCATTGATATAAACATCACAAAAATTTCTGAAGTTACAGTTTAATAGTCAAACCTACCCTAATGTTGGATGGTGAGATTTTGACAAAATCTGCCGTGATAATGCTGTGTATTTTGATGAAATATATCTGAAAAAAAAAAACCAATCAACATAATACTAATCAACAGAACGGAAAATAACATAAAAGAAATAAAACAATTACTTAGTCATAAATTTCACTGCATGGACAATGTTTTGAGGAATCTAAATCAAAGTATATTTTTCATCTATAATAAAAATATTCAAATGAGGTATTGCTTCTTAAGAGGACATCAACTGACAGCATTTCCCATGTATTTGACCCAATATCAAATATCATCTTTGAATGAGAAATTGTCATGTCTAAATGCAGATGGACAAAACATATATGGGCAAAAAGTTTTACACAACAGCCACTATATACTCCTTCAATAGGAAGGGGAATAAACAGTGTTTTATTTAACTTTCAATCATAAACTCAGATCTAACTGAATTGGCATTATTTATCTTTTCCTACATTACACAGGACAATTTTTTCTGGTTGTTTGCATAGGCCCGAAAAATTTGTATGTTTGACCTTTCCCAATCGACCCTTAAACTTTATTAGCATTTCTTTAAACATACATTTTTAGTTGTTGTAACTGCTCACTAATTCGATCAATATACACAACAGAATTGATCAAAACAATGTTAATCTTCATCACTTTATTCATTGACAATTGCACGATAAAGCTATATGATAAATACATATTCTGACTAGGTGATGACTGGACAGTAATCAGCTTGTGCCCAGATAAAAAATAATCCGATTTGCTAACACTATAATTCTGTCACAAGAAACCCTTAAAACACATATTTGTTTTGCCTAAGTTCTAATGGCCATTCCATTGTTGAAGGCCATATGGAGACCTATAATTGCTTTCATCTACGTTATTTAAACACTGGTGGATAGTTTGTCTCATTGGCAATTATACTACATAATACATATCCTTATTTCTTATTCCCCTAATTGGCTTTAGAATATTGACTGTAACTTCCTAATCATCTATTTTGTCCAAGTAAAATGTCTTACAGTAACTGATTTAATCCAAGCATTCCCATCCCTCTGAAATCTGTTTTAGGATCATCTCCTTGAAATCCTATATCTGTCCACTGTTTACTTAGACGTGCCTCTAATCTTATATCTGGCATAAGGAAGCCCCAAAGCTGAAATAAACCAAAAACATTACACAAATATACATAATTTGGATGTATGGAAACCTGTATATCTATATATTACAAATTCCAAGTCCTCAGAAAAATCTTCTTCTTTCAACATATATATATATGTAGGACTCTAATGTGCCATGGTACTCTAAAGTGCGATGGTCACGCTAAAGTGCGATGGTATATGCTAAAGTGTGATGGTGTCAAACACTAAAGTGCGATGGTATGGCACGCAAAAGTGCCATAGCATAGCATGCTAAAGTGCGATAGTGTAACAGGAATGGGGTTCAGGCAATGGTTTTCGTTTGTTTCTGTGTTCCTATTATTGTAGTTTATTCGTTTATTATTATGTTTATTAATCAAGCCGTTGTCTTTCTCTTCTTATTTGTTTTACACTGGTCATTGTGTGGCCCTGTGTATATATAGATAGCTATGCGGCGTAGACTAAGGCTCCACGTTAAAGGCCGTAGTTATTAGTTGCATATATCAATGACATTTGGTCTTGGGTATATATGTGTCTCATTTCCTCAACATCCAAGTGAGCCATCTCCAGAATCTTCTTTTCATCTTAAGTTAAATTATATTTTGTAACCTTAATATGAATAGTAGAAATACTAAAATTATTTCAGTATAAATGATCAAATGATCATGCGTATGATCGTCCTGTATATGCATGTGATATTTGTCACTATTAAGGTAATCCCCTTTTTCATTTTTATTGATTTCCATTGTTGTCGGGAAAACGCACTTTAACATATTGAGCCATCGGACTTTAGCGTGTTCCATTTAATAACACAGACCATCGTACTTTAGCGTATCAAACCATCGCACTTTAGCGTAGACCATCGCAATTTAGGGTGACCATCGCGTTTTAACGTCCCCATCGCACTTTAGAGTCCTACATATATATGTATATACCTCATGGTTTTGTTGTTACCAATTTCTTTATTTGCAAAATTTTGCAAACAATTAAATATATTTCAGTCAACCAATAAGTTTGAGAACAGATAAAATGAGTAATGAAATTATTAACATAAGATTTTATAAACTTCTTTCTACCAATTTTTCGATTAGTAGTTTAAAAGTTATTGGACACATATTGTCAAACTCAGTTTTTTTTTGTGTAAGTAATTGGTTTCCAACAGTATGTTTCAAATGCAAAAAAATTAAGACAGTTGATTACCATTCTTTGAAATGAGCATATCTTTGCTGATGATATTTGAATGTTTTTTTTATATAAATGTATGGTTATGGGAACATTCATACAACTTTTCTAGAGCTAATGATTTTATTACCTGCATAAGTTTTTCTTCATGATCTGGATTATCAGAAGAATATTGTGTCTTCCTCATTTCTTCTACTTCTGCAAACAGTCTCTTGTATCCACATATCTGACATAAACATACTTGAAAAGAATATGCAAATCTGAAAAAAAAATATATATACGAATTAAATAAAATCTGGAATGAACATCAATAAGACCCAACAAGACTAACTAGCCAAAAATTGATATCTATAGGTCATCAAACCAAAAAAATAGATATCTAGAGGTCATCAAACCTAAAATAGATATCTATAGGTCATCAAACCAAACAAATAGATATCTAGAGGTCATCAAATCAAAAATAGATATCTAGAGGTCATCAAACCAATATCTAGAGGTCATCAAACCAAAAATAGATATCTAGAGGTCATTAAACCAAAAAAGAAAAATATATATCTAGAGGTCATCAAACCAAAAATAGATATCAAGATGTCATCAAACCAAAAATAGATATCTAAATGTCATCAAACCAAATATAAATATCAAGATATCATCAAACAACAAATAGATATCTAGAGGTCATCAAACCAAAAATAGATATCTAGATGTCATCAAACCAAAAATAGATATTTATAGGTCACCAAACCAAAAAAAGATATCTAGAGGTCATCAAACCAAAAACAGAAATCTAGAGGTCATCAAACCAAAAATATATATAGAGGTCATCAAACCAAAAACAAATAACTAGAGGTCATCAAACCAAAAACAGAAATCTCGAGGTCATCAAACCAAAACTAATATCAAGATATCATCAAACAACAAATAGATATCTAAAATATATATCTAGAGGTCATCAAACCAAAAATATATATCTAGAGGTCATCAAAGCAAAAATATATATCTAGTGGTCATCAAACCAAAAATATATATCTAGAGGTCATCAAACCAAAAATAGATATCTAGAGGTCATCAAACCAAAAATAGATATCTAGAGGTCATCAAACCAAAAATATATATCTAGAGGTCATCAAACCAAAAATAAAAAATATATATCTAGAGGTCATCAAACCAAAAATAGATATCTAGAGGTCATCAAACCAAAAATAATATCTAGAGGTCATCAAACCAAAAATATATATCTAGAGGTCATCAAACCAAAAATAAAAAATATATATCTAGAGGTCATCAAACCAAAAATAGATATCTAGAGGTCATCAAACAAAAAATAGATATCTAGAGGTCATCAAAACAAAAAAAGATATCTAGAGGTCATCAAATAGTCTTATATCTGTAACAAACATAAACTATTAGCTACTTCTTTACAAGCAGAACCAAATACAATGAAAGTCCCAACTATGTACTGGCTTCCGAAGCTACACAAATCACCTTACAAATATAGATTTATTTCGTCTTCAAGTCATTGTTCCACTACTAAATTGTCTGTTCTACTTACTAGTACACTTGGTACAATCAAAAACCTGATAATAAATTGTTCAAATAAGGCATTTGAAAATAGTGGAATTAACTACTTTTGGAGTGTCAAAAACTCGTTGGAAGTACTTGATAAATTGCATGCATATATTGGTGATTTTGAATCTGTTCAAAGTTTTGATTTTTCTACCCTATATACCACTTTGCCTCATATTCTTATTAAGAAAAAATTCACACACCTAATTAAATGGGCATTTAAAAAGTCGGAATGCGAATACATATGTTCAAACTCTTTTAGGTCATTTTTTAGTAGCAACAAACAAAAGAGCTATGTCAATTGGACATGCTTTGATACTATATCTGCCCTTGAATTTTTACTTGATAACATTTTTGTTCGCTTTGGAGATTCCGTATATCGTCAAGTTATCGGAATTCCAATGGGGACTAACTGTGCACCACTTATTGCGGACCTGTTTTTGTATTGTTATGAATTACAATTTATGACTAAAATCAGCAAAGACCCATCAAACAACATCTGATACAAAAATTTAACAATACTTTTAGATATTTGGATGATATATTGGCTCTCAATAATGACAACTTCAGTATGTATACTAAAGAAATTTATCCTGTTGAATTTACTTTAAATAAAGCTAATACTAACAATGACCACTGTCCTTTCCTCGATCTTGATATCTATATCATTAACGGGAAGCTTAATACAAAAATTTATGATAAAAGAGATGATTTTTCATTTCCTATCGTTAATTATCCATCCTTGTCACCTTCTTATGGTGTTTATATATCTCAACTTGTACGATTCGCTCGTGTATGTAACAACATATTAGATTTTAGCGAGAGAAATTTATATATTACTGAAAAATTATTACACCAGGGTTTTCGATTTCATAAACTATATATATCATCGGTATAAGGACATCATTCGTAAATATAACTCAACATGCAGACATCTTATACGTTCGGGTATTTCACATCCAATCTTTTATGGTAATATTCTTTACAAAGCACAAAAATGCCAGTATTCACCTCAAAAGCTAACAAAACCTTTAAACAGACTTATTAAGAAGGGATATAGTTACGATACTGTTGTCAGGTCATTAAAGATTGCATATTTTGGCTTTAATATTGATTCACTTATAGGGTCTTTGCTTGGAATTAAACGTATTTATTCTAAAACCAGTTGTTGGCATGACACGGGTTGTGTTCTTCTCATATATTTTATGACGGTATAATACTAAACCCCTAACAGGAGGGATTGTGCCTGATATTCATATGATGAAGACATAATCTTTCAATCAGTTTAATTGAGGTCTGGAGCTGGCATGTCAGTAACTGCTAGTAGTCTGTTGTTATTTATGTATTATTGTCATTTTGTTTATTTTCTTTTGTTTCCTATTCTGACATCGGACTCGGACTTCTCTTAAACTGAGTTTTACTGTGCGTACTGTTGTACCTTTGTTTTTTCTACATTGGCTAGAGGTATAGGGGGAGGGTTGAGATCTCAAAAAACATGTTTAACCCCGCCGCATTTTTGCGCCTGTCCCAAGTCAGGAGCCTCTGGCCTTTGTTAGTCTTGTATCATTTTTAATTTTAGTTTCTTGTGTATAATTTGGAGTTTAGTATGACGTCCATTATCACTGAACTAGTATACATATTTGTTTAGGGGCCAGCTGAAGGACGCCTCCGGGTGCGGGAGTTTCTCGCTGCATTGAAGACCCATTGGTGGCCTTCGGCTGTTGTCTGCTCTATGGTCGGGTTGTTGTCTCTTTGACACATTCCCCATTTCCATTCTCAATTTTATTGAATGATACATCAACATTCAAGCTCTAAATTTTCTAGCATTCTTGATCAATTGTATAAGAATAAAACATAGATGAATAGACCGAAGTCATTTGAGATTCCTAGGGTATAACTTTATCTGACTTTCTAATAGAAGACCCAAGGGTTCCACATTTCTCTCTAGATCTTAAAAATAATACATTTCCATGAATCTATACCTACTCATTTGGCAAATCTCCTGTTAAATCAAGACGACTTAAAAGAGTGTTCCTGGTAGTCCTATAACAAATTTTACACAAAACTCCTATATACACTTTAACCTGCTCAGTTTTTTGTATTTAGATGAACATGATAACTAAAATGATAACTCTGTATATAGTGTGTTTTTTTGTGTTCATTATAAATCTTTATGAAAACATTTTATTGTGAACTTACAGTTTATAGTGTCATCAACTAGTGAATGCTAAACATTGAAGAGTAAATATTTTGTCACCAGTTTCCCAAGTGTGCAAGTGAGATTGAATTGGAAATAAGTGGAAATCGGGATCAATTCAGACTGAGATATGTTAAATATAAAACTAACAAGAGTGCACATGCTGAAATGTTTCGCCTTCTTTACTAATCATTGATATTATGTTGATAGTCCTAAATATAAAGCTTTACTACAACTATCACATAAACTTAACACGATCCAAAAAAATGAGGTCAAGGTCATCTAAACCAAACAAGAAATATAGTTCACCTTACAATCATTCAATACACTAAATATAGATGACCTATTGCTTATAGTTTCTTAGAAACAGACTTAACAAAGAAAACTAAACATTGACCAATGAACCATGAAAATGAGGTCAAGGTCAGATGAACCATGCCAGGCAGACATGTACAGCTTACAATTCTTCCATACATCAAATATAGTTGACCTATTGCTTATAGTTTAAGAAAAACAGACCAAAACACAAAATCTTAACACTGAGCAATGAACCATGAAAATGAGGTCAAGGTCAAATAAAACCTGTGAGACTGACATGTACATCATAAAATATTTCCATACACCAAATATAGTTGACCTATTGCATATAGTATTAGAAAAAAAGACCAAAACTCAAAAACTTAACTTTGACCACTGAACCATGAAAATGAGGTCAAGGTCAGATGACACCTGCCAGTCGGAAATGTACACCTTACAGTCCTTCCATACACCAAATATACTAGACCTATTGCTTATAGTATCTGAGATATGGACTTGACCACCAAAACTTAACCTTGTTCACTGATCCATGAAATGAGGTCAAGTCAAGGTCAAGTGAAAACTGTCTGACAGGCATGAGGACTATGCAAGGTACGCACATACCAAATATAGTTATCCTATTACTCATATTAAGAGAAAAATTAACATTACAAAAAATATTAACTTTTTTTTCAAGTAGTCACTGGACTATGAAAATGAGGTCAAGGACAATGGACATGTGAAAGACGGAAATTTCTAAACATGAGGCATCTATATACAAAGTATGAAGCATCCAGGTCTTCCACCTTCTAAAATGTAAAGCTTTCAAGAAATTAGCTAACACCACCGCAGCCGCTGGATCACTATCCCTATGTCGAGCTTTCTGCGACAAAAGTCGCAGGCTCGACAAAAACTATACTTATTCCACAAATCCCAATGGGCAAGTGAAGTCTTTTTTTCCCCATCCAATTCCTACCTAAAATATACATTTGTCAAAGTACTGTCAGAGAGAAATTGTTACAATGCACAAAAAATTACATCAAATGTTTTTTTTTATGAAATGAACCATGTATAAAGGAAAATTTCATCTTTAATTTCAAACAAAGTCAAATGATTGCAGCTTCCACGTCTGTATCAAAACATTTTCAAAATTTGATTTTTCTAATATTGGTAAGTGAATATATGCTGAATGATTATCAATGAGACAACTATAAACAAAAGACCAAAGGATGAAGAAGTAAATAAGTATAGGACAACTAATTTTCCAATCTGGGATTTATTGTTATTTATTCGATTACATTTTAAAGTAATCAATCTTAGGTTTGCTGAAGGCTATTGTATCTGCCTCTATTTTACACACCAATTTGATCTTCCCTCCCCCAGTTTTTCTATACTACAAAGCTTACTGAGGATGAACTTCAGGTATCACATCTTTTATCTTCATCACTTCCTCTGATGCAGGTATAACATCAATGATTTCATCTTTACTCAGCTGTTTCAGGATGGCAATATTTGAATGTTTCAAAGATCTTTCTGAGCATAAAAAAAGAGAAAAGTATCAAACAGCAACTTGCAATACCATTAAAAAAAAAAAATATTTTATAACCTAAATTACATTTGAGGAAAATCTGTTACCATCCAAAGCAATACTACATAAATGATAAACCATATTTGTTAGTATATCTTTGAATAAAAGATGTGAGTTACTGTGGATTCATTATTATTCGCTGAATACCAATTATGATGGTTTTCATGGTTACAGATGAACTCCGAATTTAAATGTTCAATGAATTACAAATACTTTATAGGCTTGTATGCAAATATTGGTAAAATCAAGTATCGACGAAAATGCCAGTTTTCCTTAATCCACGAAAATTGGTACCCAAGAAAATAAATGAATCCACAGTACACATATAATTTATATGACAGCAAGTCACATGATCCAATAACACAAATAAATCTTAAAAACATAATGGGATGTATTGAAAACCTATCAGCATGATCTCTTTAATGAATTTTGCACAATTTAAATCAACTCATTGATGTTCAAACTACTGAAATTATTAGTTTACGAATGCAAGTTGAAATATTTATTTTTTCATCATATATATAATATACTGTGGAATCATTATTATTCATTGGATACCAGTTTTTTTGGACTTCGTGGGTACAGGTGAACCACAAAATCAAATGTTCAACCAATAACAAATTTTCTCTAGGCTTGTATGCAGACTTTGGCAAAACCACGAAATTAAATATCCATGAACATGTAAGTTTTCTTTAATCCACAAAAATAAATGAATCCACAGTATGACACATTCCAGCATGAAATGTTGGTTTTAATCACATTTAATAGTAAAATGTAGTGAGAAAGTTCTACTGTATTACATACCAATTGCCTTTGTCCTTTTAGCCCCTTTTGGGTACTCAGAAGTTATTCTTAGAAGTTCACATTTTCCTGTCCATTTTCTGAGAATCCACTTCCACATTGGCCAAAGAACGCTGAAGTAAAAGGAAACCCACGTCTGATGTAAATACCCTTTCCACATGAAGTCAAATTGTCAACCTGGAAAAGAAATAACAAGTATTAAATCTACTGCTGGTTTGAAAAAGATTTGAAAAAGAAGCTTACATTGTACGCATGTACAAGAGAATAAATTTCAATCAAAATCAAACTTTGCATATAATATATATGACAACCATGTGTTTGTCAAGTAAGATCACACTGTACAAATGTACATGCTTTGTGTAGAATCTTCTGTGTACTTTTGCCAAAGGAGTAGGCCCCTATTTCTAGCTTAGATTTTAAATCAGTATTTAATGCATATTATCACACTGAATGACTAGCTAGAAAATGTGCTTATGGGACAATGGAAATCTTTTTGAATTTTGTTATGTTATTTCTGCTATGTATGCCATTTGATCAGCATAAAACTAGGAATCTTTCTTCAGAAGGGTCTTAATATTAAATCATTATTCTTATTTTCCTATAAGTTTTGAAAAGTTCCATAGAAGAAATTATTAAATCAACCAATCAGAAACAAGCACTGCCTCTTGTGGCTATATTCTTTTATTGAATGAAACAGAATTTTTACAGAGGACTTACAAATGTAATCAATTTAGAGTTTTTTGCTGGAAAGACATATGGTGACCAATAGCTGCTTACATCCACGTCTGTATCAGAATCTGTTAATAGACCCATTTGTAATACTAGACTTGTCAGTAGACTCTCATATTATCATAAAAGATCTTATAAATAAATTATGTTTTAAATTCATTTATATAAGTGAGACACAACACTCCCAAAACTTCTGTAAACAGTTAAAGGTAATGTACTTTTATAAGCGAAGATGAAAATTTTGTATGAAGAGGGCCTATCGGCAAAATTTCTTTCTATACACAATTAAGAAACTGTTCATTTCTAACATAAGAACTATCACTTAAAAAATTCCATTGATACAGATGACAGACAAAGCTCAGTTTTTAACTCCTGATACTCTATTTCCCCCCACAGACACACAGGGTGTGGTTTCCCTATAAAATTAACTGCAATGAATATGTACCAAAGTTGATAGTAACATTACACACCAACAAACAAGGTAAACTATACTCTAACAAGTCCTTGATGTACAGTAACAGTTAAATTGGAGTTCCTTGAAAAAAATCATGCTTCATGAATAAAAACTCTACAAAATTCAATTGTTGTACAAAAATGATGTAACAAAATAGAAAAAAATAAAAATTTCTGGCATAAACATAATAAAAATACACAATGTACTTATTTACTTACAATAAATGTGTTATAAATATAAGTAACCCATTTCTAGTATTCTCAAAAAGTTCTATCTGGTAAGAGAAATACATGTAAACTGTGATGCCATTAATAAATCAATAATTTAATAAATATTTAATAAATGTCTTTATGCATCTATAGTAATCAATTTTTATCTGATAAACTATTGTTATATTGCTGTTAATCTTGATTATTATGTCATAAATAATATTGACTTATCAATGGAAATAAATGGGGAATGTGTCCATGGGAAACAGATGATGCCCCCGCATATAACCTTATAAAGGGACATAATTCAACAATGGTAAAAGTGAAGCTACATAAATTCGTACTTGATCTGAGTTTTGTGGTAAAAAGCATTGTGTATAAGTTTCATAACATTTGGTTGAGGCAAACTGAAGTAAGAGAACGGAAACTAAAAATTCAGCAATTTTTCCATTTGTAAAGGGGCATAACTCAAGAACGGTAAAAGTGACTCCACCCAAATTCAAACTTGATCTTTGTTTTGTGGTAATAAGCATTGTGTATAAGATTCATAACATATGGTTGAGGCGAACTTAAGTAAGAGAACGGAAACGAAAAATTCAGTAATTTTTCCATTTGTAAAGGGGCATAACTCAAGAACGGTAAAAGTGACTCCACCCAAATTCAATCTTGATCTTTGTTTTGTGGTAATAAGTATTGTGTATAAGATTCATAACATATGGTTGAGGCGAACTTAAGTAAGAGAACAGAAACGAAAAATTCAGCAATTTTTCCATTTGTAAAGGGGCATAACTCTTGAAAGGTATAAGTGACGCTACCCATATTCAAACTTGATCTGTGTTTTGTGGTAATAAGCATTGTGTATAAGTTACATAACATTTAGTTGAGGCAAACTAAAGTAAGAGAACGGAAACCAATTAAGGGACATACAGATGTATGTACAGAGGGACATATGGACAAGGGTGAAACTTAACGCCCCCTCCACTAAGGCGGGGGCATAAAAATCCAAAATTTTCAAAATTCTGGTGGAAAGCCTAATCGAAAATTTATAAAGGGACAATCTGATTGAAATACAGATCTGTGTCCATGCTTCCCTTACAAGGATCTGACAACACTCCTTTCTGTCCATGCTTCCCTTACAAGGATCTGGCAACACTCCTTTCTGTCCATGCTTCCCTTACAAGGATCTGACATCACTCCTTTCTGTCCATGCCCCCCTTACAAGTATCTGACAACACTCCTTTCTGTCCATGCTCCCCTTACAAGGATCTGACAACACTCCTTTCTGTCCATGCTTCCCTTAGAAGGATCTGACAACACTCCTTTCTGTCCATGCTCCCCTTACAAGGAATTGACAACACTCCTTTCTGTCCATGCTCCCCTTACAAGGATCTGACAACACTCCTTTCTGTCCATGCTTCCCTTACAAGGATCTGACAACACTCCTTTCTGTCCATGCTTCCCTTACAAGGATCTAACAACACTCTTTTCTGTCCATGCTTCCCTTACAAGGATCTGACAATGCTCCTTTCTGTCCATGCTTCCCTTACAAGGATCTGACAACACTCCTTTCTGTCCATGCTTCCCTTACAAGGATCTGACAACACTCCTTTCTGTCCATGCTTCCCTTACAAGGATCTGACAACACTCCTTTCTGTCCATGCTTCCCTTAGAAGGATCTGACAACACTCCTTTCTGTCCATGCTTCCCTTACAAGGAATTGACAACACTCCTTTCTGTCCATGCTTCCCTTACAAGGATCTAACAACACTCTTTTCTGTCCATGCTTCCCTTACAAGGATCTGACAATGCTCCTTTCTGTCCATGCTTCCCTTACAAGGATCTGACAACACTCCTTTCTGTCCATGCTCCCCTTACAAGGAATTGACAACACTCCTTTTTGTCCATGCTCCCCTTACAAGGATCTGACAACACTCCTTTCTGTCCATGCTTCCCTTACAAGGATATAACAACACTCCTTTCTGTCCATGCCTCCCTTACAAGGATCTGGTAACACTCCTTTCTGTCCATGCTCCCCTTACAACACTCCTTTCTACTTACTGTTTTGATTGATTTTACACCAAACAGTTACCAATGAAATTTCTTCTCCCAAATTTTGAAGGTTTGCATCAATAAGGTCTTTAAAAAAGAAAATTGAAAGCAGGGTTTTTAGATCCTTGCAAGCAAAGAGTGGACATGTGATCTGTATTGGGTAATGAGCAACGTGATGGACTGATCTATTGGTTACTTATATAATTAATGTCCAAGTATCTAATTAATGTAGGGAAAAAGGAATGTTACTTTTGTCTGTGAATGAGTTGTGACTTGAAAATATATCATATGGATTGGGTAGGATCAGAAATTTGCATAACAGGTGGAGGACCCAAGGAGATAATACTTTAACATGAAAAGTACATTGTAATCTCCAAACATGTAATTACCAGAGATTAATGTCTGAAACCAGGCAAAAATGTATTTATGCATCTCATACAGTAATGGACATCCCTCCTCAGCAGATGTCTTACTGCTGACCATTATTTCTAATTAACTGTATGTATGAGAGTCAGGATGGGGTCCTTTATTTCTTTATTCTTTAACTTTTAGACCATTTTTTCCTATTCTTTATTTGTTTTGACCCTTATTCTTTTTTCTTTACATCTAAGCACCCCATTATCATGATTATTCTCTATTTTTTATTAATTTGGCCTATTTTTCTCTATTCTCTATATTTTTCACCATTTATTCTGCACATTTTGCCCATTAATATTCTTCTCTATTCTTTATATCTCAGCACCCCATTATTCTCTATTCTTTAATAATTTGGCCTATTTTTCTCTAATCTTTATATGTTTCACCATTTATTCTACACTTTTTGCCCAATATTCTCTATTCTGTAAACCCCATCCAGACCCTCATGCTTTTTTTTTAAATCTCAAAAGTTCTTTCAGCATCATAATATAATTATTGGAAATTCTCTTTAATTGTAAAAAAAAATACTCATTCTAAAGTATCTTTTATCATATTTATTAATAAACTGTTAAAAATGAGTTGGGTCAACTTTGACATCTTGCCTGCAGCAATATTTGAATTATTGTAAAGATCAATGAACTCTGAAACTACAGTCAAGGTCAAATAAAATCTATCAGATACATGTACACATGTTCATTCATACAAAATACCATATAAAGTACCATCAGACATGTACACTTTCTTATTTCAGACCTAAGAAATAACTTACTTAGAATATGGGAAATACTCTGGATTTTAAACAGTCCTTCACCAAATATGTCTAGACTTACAGGATGTTTAACCAAACATATTCATAAAAAGTGTTAGAGTAGGCATGAAAATTTAGGGTACAAGAAAGTATAGGGAGGCAGGCAATTGAGTTGTAGTTTTCAGGCCTAATCCAAAATCATAAAACTGACCACTGCAACATAACAATGAAACTAAAAAAAAATCATCATACAAAATATTGACTATTCATTTGGAATGTACACATATTAACCACCAATACCCATATCAACATAACAACAATACACATATAAAATATAGTTATATATTGTTGCTGAGGAACATTTGTTTATCCTGAATATATAATAATCTGACCACTTGAGTGTGAAAATGAAGTTACATATACATTTGTACACATAGATACATAATATACTCCTTGCAACTAATCTAAATACCAAATATAGTTGTAGGTTCAAGTGCTACCGATGATAAGAACCCCTTCATGTCATAACAACCAATACACATATCAAATGTTGTTAAAGGTTCGTGTGTAGCTACTGATGATAAGAACCCCTTCATGTCATAACAACCAATACACATATCAAATGTTGTTAAAGGTTCGTGTAGCTACTGATGATAAGAACCCCTTCATGTCATAACAACCAATACACATATCAAATGTTGTTAAAGGTTCGTGTGTAGCTACTGATGATAAGAACCCCCTACATAACATAACAACTAATACACATATCAAATGTTGTTAAAGGTTCGTGTGTAGCTACTGATGATTAGACCCCCTACATAACACAACAACTAATACACATATCAAATGTTGTTAAAGGTTCGTGTGTAGCTACTGATGATTAGACCCCCTACATAACATAACTAATACACATATCAAATGTTGTTAAAGGTTTGTGTGTAGCTACTGATGATTAGACCCCCTACATAACATAACAACCAATACACATATCAAAGGTTGTTAAAGGTTTGAGTGTAGCTACTGATGATTAGACCCCCTACATAACATAACAAGCAATACACATATCAAATGTTGTTAAAAGTTCGTGTGTAGCTACTGATGATTAAACCCCCAACATAACATAACAAATACACATATCAAATGTTGTTGAAGGTTCGTGTGTAGCTACTGATGATTAAACCCCCCAACATAACATAACAACCAATACACATATCAAATGTTGTTAAAAGTTTGTGTGTAGCTACTGATGATTAAACCCCCAACATAACATAACAAATACACATATCAAATGTTGTTGAAGGTTCGTGTGTAGCTACTGATGATAAGACCCCCTACATAACATCAAATGTTGTTAACCTAACTTGTATGGTTATTGAGGAACAAATTAAACTTGTCCTGAAAACTTGACCATTGAAGCATGACAGTGGAGTCAGATTCAGATGACACAAAATACAATTTTACTGACATGGTTTCAACCTTAACAAAGTTCATACAATTATCTCTCATCACTTAAGACATTAAGGTTATATGCAAATTGTTTTAAAGCCACTGTTGCTGAAAAAGTAACATCACATTCTCGCCTACTCTTTCTACTAGGGACTATTGCTGAGGGCCAGGATGTATTCTAGGGATTCACTGACAAATAATCCAGATCTGCCCCAAATTTGTAAATATTTAATCACAAAGTCATCAAACAAAAGTTAATTAAGTTTTACTTTGTATTATTATAATGAATTACTTAGTTCTAAGGCATAAAGATATTAACTTCAACATGTTCAAAATATAATGTTTATATATATATATATGTTTCAAATTGAAATTGGACTATTACTTGTGATGCTTTAAAAAAAAATAAGGAATTTCATACTACATAAATCATCTAAACATTATTTTTACCCATTAAATTAGAAATTGTTCCACATTGACAATTCATGCGAATTACTTAGTTCTAAGGCATTAAGATATTAACTTCAACATGTTAAAAATAAAATGTTTATATATATATGTTTCAAATTGAAATTGGACTATTACTTGTGATGCTTTAATCAAAATGCTTGTGAGCACTGAAGGGTAAAGATTACTTTCATTCTGCAATTTTGTGAATTTTTAAATAAAATTATTTTGCTAGGCAAGTTAAAAATTTGAGTTGGAGTTGTCTTCTTTTGTTCATTATTTCACATTTGTAGTTGAACCTATTTTTATAACAGATTCATACACCATGCATTACTTGTGTAATTTTTCATAAATTTACAAGTATGGTAATTCAAATACACATCATACTGTAACTTAAATATCAAAGTATAACATGTCATCAATAAATTGTGTGAAATCGACTGGATAGGATCTAAATAATGATCACTTCACTGCACTATTTTGTTTGAACTATCAAAGGTAGTGATCAACCTTGGAAGATATAGATATCAAGTCAGTACCATAGGGTTTTGATTGCATTTCATGCAATCTTTACCCCAAAAAAAGAAGGAAATTCATACAACATAAATCATCTAAACATTATTTTTACCCATTAAATTAGAGATTGTTCCACATTGACAATTCATGATAAAAAAATTGATATACATTTATCATGTTTATTGAAATTAAATTTACAATAAAGGGTTTCCGTAAAAAAAAAATATCATATCAGAAAAAGAATGACATGACACACCAAATAACATCAGGTTAAGATTCAGAAAATCAAGTTCAGTCATATACAAGTCCCAGCACTAAATATTGGTGAATTATTGTGCAAAGTCCATACTTATAAAAATAATTTAACTTATATTCTTTCACACAGGTTTTTTGTCAAGTTTGCTTTAAAGGTTCATCAATCATTTGGCTTGATTGTGTGTTTGAATCATGAAATTTATTCTGAGTACAGACTAAACTGTGTTATCTGTTATATAACTGGAAAAAGTTTAATGCCTGACAGGACCTAGATATAAAAATTAAAGAAATTGAAAACTTTCTTGAAATTTGAGAATTTTTTTTCATCACAGCAGGAAAATTTGATGTTTAATTAAACAAACACTTGCATTTTATTTGATAAGTCTACTCAGTTACATAATAAAATGTTTAAATACCTAGTGGACTGGAAATATCTATTTTCCATTTCAATCATGACCTAAGGGGAACATCTTACAGTTTTTAGATGATTTTGACACCATCTTTATTTAAAAAAAAATGCAGATCAAAAGAATTGAGAATGGAAACGTGGAATGTGTCAAAGAGACAACAACCCAACCAAAGAGCAGAAATAGCACAAGGCTACCAATGGGTCTTCAACGCAGCGAGAAAATCCCTCACTAGGAGGCTTGCTTCAGATGGCCCCTAAACAACAATAAAATTGAGAATGGAAATGGAGAATGTGTCAAAGATTGATTGATTGTTGGTTGCTTAACGTCCAGTGGCAAATATATGTGTCAAAGGGACAACAACCGAACCAAAGAGCAGAAAACAGCTGAAGGCCGCCAATGGGTCTTCAACACAGCAAGAAAATCCCGCACCTGGAGGCAGGCTTAAGCTGGCCCCTAAACAAAAGTCAAAAAACGTGTATTAGTTCAGTGAAATGGACCCACACTAAACTCAAAATAAAGTGTTTTAAGATTTAGGTCTTTTCTTCATTTTTTTCTGGCCATGCCCCGATATCACTTTTTTTTCTTCAGGTTATGGTTTTTGATTCCCACTTGGTATTTTGATATTATATAAAGGTATCAAAACAGCTACATTTTGTTAGCCCACACATATATATCAATAATATGTGTTCCTTATGAAGTTATGTTTTCCTTCGAGAAAATGATATCCAGTTTTGAAACAAAGTATCCTAATGACAATGTTTGTCTTGCCTTGAATAAATGTGCATCTTTGATTTTAATTTCTATGTGTTTTACACCCCAAAGTGATTCGATTTAAAGCTAAATTAATAGTGTATTTTTGACAGGTACATGTGAGTTATTGTTTACACTTACAAACCTCCGCCAGATGGCAGTAAATTTCTCAATATTAAGACATACACGGCGATTTTTGATTGGTTGCTTCTCTAATCAATAAAAGTACCCTAAAAGGAAAAGTATCAAAATTTAAGCAGACCGCAAAAGACATTTCTGGGTATTAGATTCTTTAATATCTATGTTATTGACAAAGAAATACCTAATTCTCCAAGTAATCAATACTGTATCTTATGAATGGTAAATAAGGATTGAACTCTGTTACTATGGACCAGCCAATGAAAATTCTTCTTAGAAAGAGATCGGGAAAGACTAAGTAAAGCAAAATAAAAACTTAGTTTCGCATACTGTATACATCTCATTAAGAAATAAAAAGAACTTGAAAAATATAATAAATACAAAGGCCCATCCACCTGTAATATATTTTTTTATGTTTAATAGTCTGAGATGCAAACGTTTCATCATTAAATTCTCTTGTCGAAATCAGGTCACACAGTGGAAACATCATGGCGCGAGGTACTTGTCATAATCGAGAAAAGATGTCAAAAGAATGGTTTCATTTTGTTATCTTATTACACACATTTTTACAGAATTTTTCACTCATATCAGCAATAGAAAGTCATAGTCAAGGTAAGATATCACATTGAATACAAAGCTCCTCAAAATAACAGTGGGTTTCGTGATTTAAAATGCAAACTGACAGAAAAATTGGTTGTGTTTACAAATAATTCATGCATAAACAGTTGTGAAGATTTAATAGATAAACAATTTCAATTCATAGACAATAGTGGACATAAATAGTTATTTGGTATGAATTTTGATTATAACAAAAAGTTACAATATGAATGTTCATGGTCATTTAATAAGTGGTTGACATGGTGTTGATGTTGATCAGTTATACATTCTTGTGTGTGTAATGACATGTATTTATGATATTTGTGATTTTTTTTTTTTTATAAATTTGATATTGTATGAAGTGCTTAGCAGATAATATATATAACCCTTATTAGGATTCAGATTTCCAAACTGTTTTGGCAACCAAATAAAGATTTGAACTCTGAACTCTCCCTGTATCCAAATCATGTTTCTGTAAAAATATATTACTTCATTAAATTTAGAGATGACATTTGAAAAGGAAGATCCATAGATATAATTTGTAGTTATGAATTACAAATTTTTTTCAATTTTTTTTAATTGTCTGACGTAAAACTACCTACTTAAGGGTTTTGTACTTCTGTCAAATATCATCCCTAAGCCTAACATTCTTTATTTCGTAGAAATAATAGATTATGAGAAAAAATAGAAAATTTTGCTTATTTACTGTTTTAACTATTATCAGATGCTACTGAATCCCAGTATACATGGTATATAAATATGAATAAATTAAGCCACTATAATTTCAAAATTTGCCTATAGATACATTAATATGAGGCATGCAGGTGCTACTTGAAGAGCTCCTGAAGGTACATGTAACTAGTTGTTGGGGGAATAGAAGAATTTTGTTTTTTTAATTGTCTTAATATATGTCATCATACTTTCGCAATTGATAATGATATACAAATTTGGGGGAAATTGTTTACTCCTTTATGATGGTTTACAAAAAATTCTGAAAGAAACAAAAAGTTAAAAGAAGAAGTTTTTACAGGGTCATCCTTTCTAGACACAAAGCCCAAAGGGAGTATTCAGAAAGAAGGAGATTTGGTATGAAACTATTCATAGACCAAGGAAAAAGATGTTAACAATAGAAATTTACTGTACAGCCTTCAACAATTAGCTGTAATGTACAAATGATAATGATATATAATTAGTGAAGATTGTCCAAGATCTACATGTCTAGAAAAATGTCAATACAACTGAAACTAGAAAATATGACTCCCTCAATTAGTTTGTAAAAGAATTAATGTCCAAAATGTCAATTTTGAATAATTTAACATATTTGCCTGTTTTCTTGAAAACTGTAAAAGAGAGAAACTGTGACAGCAAAAATGTTCACCAAAACAACATTCAAAAGTTATATCAAACCAAACTTGGTAAAGATCTGATTGATGACTAACAAAATATTGTCCAGAAACAAAACATTCACAAAATTTTATCTTTTATTTCCCCTGTGATCTTGATCTTTAATCTACTGACATCATAATTAACAGGGATTTTCTACTTCACACGAGGAATTATCAACCTTATTTGGTAAATTTTAGACTTTACAGTTTAAAAGATATTATCCAGAACCACATATTTGTCAAAATTTTAGTCTCAATACATGTAGTTGTTATGACCTTGACCTTTGACACAGTGACCTTAAAACAACAGTAGCATTTTCCATTCCATGGGACATCAAATTTAGTTTGGTTAAGATAAGGTATATATGAACGCTCTGGATGCACCATATCAAAAACCCATAGTGTCAATGGGACATGTCCTGGTTACACAAGCTGAGTCCTTTCATCTTCAAGATTATCTATTAGCTGTTCAAAAGTATTCAAAAACATGCTTCATGTTAATATTTTTAATGGAAAAATTGATTCCTCTTTCATGAATTATTTGCAATAACTGTAAAGCTTGAGAGAAATGAAATTAAATGATGTAATTGATCATGTGATTGTCATACATGTATGCTAATTATTGCAATAAAATCTGAGGAAATCGAAATTTATTTGACTTTGTAAGAACACTTTTTGCTGGCTATAAAGTCGTAAAAAAAAGCAGATTATCAAAGGATAGCAAACCCATGTTTTTAAATTGATAATTGCTTTATGTAATACACTGGAAATAATGTAAACAAGTTTTTAAAGGTCAATTAGAGGATAAGTTCTAATTCAATGCATTTGACAGAAGGAGAAAATCTTGAAAACAAAGTGAAGTTGTTTTTTTTTGGATCCTCTAGTCTCAGTTCAACATAAGATAATCAAAATCTTGATCAGTAGTTTTAACAAAAGTTACACAGAATAAAATTCAGTTAAAAAAAACCAAATTTCTGTGGAATACAGCATCATTATTTTTTTTAACTGAATTTTATTCTGTGTAACTTTTTTTAAAACTACTGATTAAGATTAAAACCAGAGAGAGTTGATTTCTCAAAACAATTTAAGAGTTATGGAAAAATTTTTAACAGAACAACAGACCACACAAACTAACGAACTGACCAACAACCAGCTCCTCCAAAAGTTGGACAAAGTACAAACAAAGACAATCAGCATGTGGTTAAGACACATGTACTGGCAGTGTAGCTAGTTACATGTATAGCACAAAATGTGGTGGGGTTTAACCAGTTTAACATGTGCACGAACCTCCCCCTTGGCTATATAAACCATATGTCGTAAAAAATCAAAATATAGAATGGAAAACCAGCACAGTCCAGCTACTAATCTAAACAAAGAAATAAATGGGGTCATGTTTTACTCAAATTTATTCACAACTTTTTTCAACATTGGACAATTTAGAGCCAGGCATAAATATATAAATTGTATTAGACTGTCATGGAAGCACAAAATGTATATTATTTATGTTTTGGAGTTTGTGTGACGTCCATTTTCATTGAACTAGTACACGATTTGTTTAGGTGCCAGCTGAAGCCCGCCTTCGGGTGCGGGATTTTCCCGCTGTGTTGATGACCCATTGGTGGCCTTGGGCTGTTTTCTGCTCTTTGGTCGAGTTTGTTGTCTCTTTGAGACATTCCCCATTTCCATTCTCAATTTTATACATCTTTTTTTATTTGCACTTATGGAATTCAAGAGGCTACATGTATTTAAATTCTTTAAATGCATTTCTGTTACCTGACCATAAGTAATTTTCTGTGCTACCTCATTTCTTCTGTTAACTTTTTTTGGAGAGAGGTATACATTGTGTAATTTGATTATAAGTTACCTGTACATGTAAGGCCCTTGATTATAAATAATGTATGTGCAGGTAATAAATAGTATTATCATATACTTAGAGTAAATAACTTATAATTTTTTACAGTATGATAAATGCATTAAATTAACGTGAATTCCATATTTTCCGAAATCATGCTTAGCGGGCTGATATGAAAAATTTATCAACTGCTTCCGGCTATTATTGCATGGCATTCCCACATTACTCGGCAAATTCTGGAAAATATATCTCAATGGTACGTTTTCGGTGAAAAACAGAACAAAGTAGGGTACAAAACAAATATTAGGAAACAGGAAAATATATTATGTAAAATGCAAAATAAATGATACAATAAATGCATTTTTCAAAGTATCCAGCATAATTTAGCAAGTTACTTTAAAAATGTTGACTTTTCTGGCCAAACAGTGTTCCGATTTTGTTTTGTTGATTTTTTTTCATGAATATAAAAAAATATACCGGTAGTGTACTGTTGTGTTTATACGACCGCAAAAAATTTGCGTTCACATAATGCTATCAAGTCGTTGGCGGCGTCGTCTGAAGACATTTGGTTTCCGGACAATAAATTTAGTTTAAGTGTATGGATCTCTTTGAAATTTATCTAAAAGGTTCAATACCACAAAAGGAAGGTTGGGTTTGTTTTTGGGGGTGATGGTCCCAACTGTTTAGGAATAAGGGGCCAAAAAGAGACCCAAAACAAGCCTTTTCTTTTTTTTTCTATTTTCAGGACAATAACTTGTGTATAAGTATTTTGATTGCTCTGAAATTGTACCACAAGGTTCAATACCACAAGTAGATTTTTTTTCCTCAAGATTTAAGAAGTTATCAATTTTCCAAAAAAAATAATTGGGGGCCATAATTTATTTTGCTAATTCTTTGTATATAGTCTGAAAACAGATTTACTAAGTATTGCGCAACAGCACAGTGTATTGCACAACAGCAAGAAATATTCAATTGAATATAAATTCAAATCATATAACCAATTTCAAGTTCTTTGACTACATTAATTTTGTTTCAGAAACCTATAATGTGTCAAATATTTAATTACAATCCAAATTCAGACCTGAATCAAGCTTGAATATTGTGTCCTTTTTTGCCCCAACTGTTCAGGGTTGGACCTCTGCGGTCGTATCCAGCTGCGCTGATACCAGATCAGATGTATTATC